TGATCGGTGGTGGGGGGGGAGGGGGCGCAGCTAGTGCGCGCCGCCCCCCAGCAGACCAGGCTTTTGTTGCAGGACGCCTCGGGTAGAGCAGCTGGGGTGCTGCCGGGTTGGTCCTGTGGGAACCTACCGGGCAACGCCCCAGCTGTTCTGTCCCAGGCTCCAGATTCAGCAGCTGTTGAAAGTGATCAGGCTGATTCCAGGAAGCTGGGGACAGAGCAACTCTGCCTCCGGCTTCCTGTAGTCAGCCCCTGGTCAGTTTCAGTGGCAGCAGCTGAATCTGGAGCCAGTTCCGACTTACATACAAATTCAACTTAAGAACAAACCTATAGTCCCTATCTTGTACGTAACCCGGGGACTGCCTGTACTTCAAAAATATTGTAAAAGTAATTCTATATATTACCCTAGACAATTTTTGTGGCAGTCAAATCTTGTTCACTTATTTCTTACTTGTTTCTCTTCACTATTATATAGTGGTCTCCCAATATTCTAACTGCAGAATGTCTTGCTAGAGCAGGCCTAGGCAAAATATTCTCTGCGGGCTGAATCTGGCCCGCAGATGCAATGGGGAGCCTCTTGCAGACTCCCTGCCTGCCATCCCCCATGCCCCACGCTGCTGAGGAAAATGGATGTTGTGGGGCTCTTGTTTGAACAGATGTGAGCCCAGGGAGGGAGGAGAGGCTTTGTGTGGTGCTCCCTCCCCACCCCAGCACAATTTCCATTGGCCGGTTTCTGGCCAAAGGGATCTGTCTGTTAACAGACAGCTTGCAAAGCACCCTCCCCCACCTCCCCTTAGGCTCCTAGCTGTTGAAAAACCACATGGCTCCTGCAACCAATGCAAGGGCAGGCAAGGAGTCTGCTGGCTGGGAGTCAATCATTTAGGTCTCCCAGCCAGAGTGTGTATCCCAACCCTTTGACCCTTACCCCACATAACCCAAACCTTCTGCCCCCCTGATCCTGAACCCTAATCCCTTGCCCCATGTCACAACCCAAACGCTCTACCTCCCCTCTTGCATCCATATTCCTCCCCATTCTTCCCCTCCCCCAGATCCTGCATCCCTAGTCTCCTTCTTCAGGTCACAACGCAGATCCCTGCACCTTACTACTCCCCCAACCCAGGTCACAACTATCTCCTTCACCCAAACTCCCTCCCAACCCCTACATCCTCTCCTGCACCCCGCTCTCTTCTGCACCAACCTCTATCCCAGACCCCTCACCATCTCTATTAATATGGAAGAGTGTAGTCCTTGACCACTTTAGAAATTCTTGGTATGGCCCCCGCAAAAATTGCCTGCCCCTGTGCTAGAGTTTACTTCCTGTAGGATATTCACGCAACTCAGAACATGCTACATTGACCTTAACACTAATGTTCATTCACTGAGTTAGCTAAACATATAAATGTTAGTGGGAGAGTTCAGTTTTGGAGGTAATTATACAGTGTGCCATGCTCTGTTTTATACTTACAGAAATATGGTCAGCCTATTCAGGAAAGATACATGGAACATGAAGAAAGACCAAAAGCTTTAAATGACCTGGGAAAGAAGGTCCAGCTTCTAATGAAAGCAGTAGAAGCATTCAAAAATAAGGTACATATTTATACAGTTGGAGTATGGGGATTATCTAGGTTAGTAAACAAAGTTTGAAAAACTAAGGGCTTTTCTGTAGTTAATGGTACAGTAGCTATGTCAACAGGTAAAGCCTTCGCATCAACATATTGTCTACAGTGCAGTTAGGAGGTATAACTGCAACACTCTGGGTTATGAATTTTCCATATTCCTGAGGGACAATAACAGTGATGTACAGTAGAGTCCAGATTATCCCACCTTCGGTAAACCAACATTCCACTTTATTCGACATACCGGATAAACCCTGGGGTTCCGCGGACCATTGTCAGGGGGTTCCGTGAGAAATCCCCAGCCAGCCTAGTGCAGCGCAAGTATGCGGCCCCCAAGGCCAGCCACCCTGTGCTGCCATGCCACATGCAGCCTTCCTGGCTGAAGAGGCTCCAGCAGTAGTCCCTAGCAAAACTAAAACCCCATGCTGCTGCCGCTCACCTATCATGTGACCAGGCCCGTTTCTCCTGCCCCAGCTGCTGACACCCGTTGAATTGCAGCACATGGCGGGCGATTGAGAGTCCAGTCCATGGGTCGGAGTCTCCTGCCAGCGCCACTTGGTCCCCATCCTTGCCTGGCCCCTTCCCTTCCTGCAGCCCCCAGGTGCAGGCTGGGAGAATGGCCCCACTCGCTGCCCTGTCACTCCGGGTGCTGTTGATGCTGCTCTTGCTGCTGCTGCCCTTCTCGGCAGCCTCCAAGTGGAACATCCGCAAAGTGCTGCTGCCCTTCGCCCGGAGCACCCGAATCAGCTACTGTACAGGTAATGCTCTGTACTCCATGTTATCTGACATTTTCGTTAATCCCACCACCTGTCGGTCCCATTTAGGTTGGATAATCGAGACTCTACTGTAAGTTGCTAGCATAGACCAAGTCAAAGTCTAGGAATAATGTTTTTCAAAAGCACTTAAGTGCTTTTGGAAAGATTATCCTAGAGCTTGAGGAAAGGGGGTTTCTTTGTATCAGTCAAATGAAAAAATTGAAGATTTCCATTTTGTACTTTAAGTATCTTTTAAACTAAATGAGTAATTCATTTGGCAGTTATTTTTTAGTCACTCTTAAGTTGGTGGAGATTGCTATACGTTAAAATAAACTTAAGAAAATTGATATATTGTGAAGCATATTGGGCTCTAAGTTAATCTGAACAACATCAAGGAATATAATTATAAATTTAGTGAAATCCCAAATTTACATTTCTATAGAGTGCTTTCTATAAGAGTATCTTGAAGCATTTAAATATGAACAAAGACGAAATCTCCCTATATAATTTTTTTATCTCAAAAGCTATTTTTCCTTCTAAACTTCAGTTTATGCATGGATTTATCACAGAAACTGTTGCAGTGCAATCTTAGATACTGTACACTTCTTTTACCAGTGTGTGCCCCATAAATTCATTGTGGTGATTTGTTTCAAAACATTTCTCTTCTTAGGATGAAAAATATGATCATCTAGATCCTGCTGAGATGGAAAAAGTTGAAAAGTTTATCAGTGAAGCCATGAATTGGTTGAATACCAAAATGAATGCCCAGAATAAACTAAGTCTGACTCAGGATCCAGTTGTGAAGGTGGCAGAAATACTAGCAAAATCCAAGGTAAAGAAGCATTATTGTACCTATGATGTCCTTAGCATAGGGAAGAAATCTATAAATAGTTAAATTGCATTAAACTCAAGAGCAAAATAGGGTACAGATGGAGGGGCGGGGGTGTACCTATACTCTAGCTTAATAGGCTTTCTCCCTGTCTTAACCTAGAAATAGTAAGTCTGCGGGGGAGGAGGGGGGGTTCTCCAGTGATGTAAATGGGAGGGACGATCCCTTTCATTTAGTGATTTAATCGGTCCTAGTCTGGAGTAATAGCGGATTAAATATTTCTCTGTGATCCTATTTGCCTTATACTTTAACTAACTGGTATTGTTTACTGCACCTAAGTTTTATAGAAAATTGACAACATTTTCAGATAACTAGAGAACATATATTGTGTAGGCTTTTCAAACTTCACATTAAATAAAATCAGATTCTGAAACCTAGATTCCATGGAAATTTTGAAATAAATGCCTCTCTCAATTCTGTTGTCCCGGGTAAACTGGAACTCTTCAACTGTCTTCCTTAGTACAAGTGTTTTGAGTGTTTGTTTCATCACTAAATGAACATAATTCTTTTCTTCAATCCTAATATATTAGGAACTGGATAGTTTCTGTAACCCTGTTGTTAACAAGCCTAAGCCAAGGATGGAGCCCCCAAGTGAAGCTCAGACAAAAGCTAATGGTGAACATAATGGACCAGTGAATGGACAAAGTGGTGCTGAAACAAAACCAGATCCCGCAAAGGACAATTCTCAGCAGACCAAACCATCTGGAGAAATGGAAGTGGACTAAGTTTCGCATTTCTTTCACTTAATTAAAACAGTGCAAGTAACTACAGGGTCCATTCTTCTTTTATGTCTAGCACCACTACGGATGTTCAGTTATTCTTAGCCAACTTTCTGTCCTTTTGTTCTTTGCAGTAGTTTTGAACGTGTTTTACATTGAGTTCCCTCCAATGTTCATTTCCATTGATGCTGCTTATGTGGAGCTTTAGCCGAATGTAGATTGTAAAAGTCAGTTTAAGCTTTCCCAATATATTTTATATCAAACATACAGAATTGATATATAAATGGCAACAATCTACCTTGTTTAAAGCTTTTATTGTGGATAAACCTCAATTCCTTTAATCAGAAAAGGACACTGTATTGCACTACTGATGCTGAAGTGTAGATTTAATTGCATCTTTATTTTGGAAAAATATTGGAATTGAAGTGGTGTTAATATGACCACTTGAAGCACTGACCTATTTTCTAGTTATTGTACTGTTACTTAAATATTAAAATAGAGGTTAGCTAGTATACTAGTCCATCTTGTTGATGAGAACTGTACGGTCTTTATATTTTTCATATAAAACATACAAGTTTAGAACAGAATTTTCTTAATTTGAGAATCATACCATGAATTAACATAATTATAAAACAATACTGGTAAATTGGCTTTGTCATTTGTTCAAAATAACTCTTGACCTGTTCATACACACTTAATGCACATGTGGTTATGGTAGACTGATACTAAAGTTACAGTAATATGCAAGGACTATCACTTTCAAGAGAGACATCTAATTTTTTTTGCACTTGTTACTTTTTAAAACTAGATTTCCTGTCAGTTAACAGCTATACATGCTCTCTCAAACAGCACATTTTGTACACCTTACAGGAGAAATAGTAACACAAAAAATGGGTTCATAAACTGTCTTAATTCTGAGGTGTGGATTTAAGTCCTTTACTAAATATTTCAAATGAAAGCAAATGGATAATTTACACAAATTGGCCAACATTCATTATGATTAGGGATTTTAACACATTGAGGCAATGTGTGCCCAAATTATACATAGGAAAAAATCCTGCCAAATCCAAGCAGATGCAGAAGGGTTGAGAAACCAAGGTTTATTTCAAATATTTATTTGACTTAAACTGAGTTCAAGGAGTATACATTTAACATAATAGTAAAAGAACAGCCTTATCCCATCATTAAAAAGGGGAAGAATATATGGCATCACTATCAAAATACTCCTAATGGGGACGTAGAGCGAAGTGCACTCATGCATCTTGCTTTCATATGTCTTGGAGAGTTAACCAGCTAGTGGAAAAACTCTAGTCTTACACTTCTACACTAAACCTAGGAAACTGTTTCATATGAAACCAGAATAATAAATTTTGAATCAACCTTTGGTAAACCCTTCCCTTAAAATTTCTTAATGTAAATTTTGACATGATTACAAAGTCACTGTTTTATGTGGTGGTGCACAGTTTTCACGCTCAGGGAAATGGTGATATATGTAGCACTCTCTAGGGAAAAAAATGACAAAATCCCTACTATGAACAGACATGAGACCATAAAATGTTACCAGCTTGTGACCAAGCCCACCTCCAAATATATTAAACCACTTTGCCACCTACTCTCATTGTTCAAGATCACACATTCCAAAAGTAAGTAGTTTGGTGTATTTATTTTGTTTTACTAGAGCTTGTTACTGCTGTGGATTGACTAAGCAAAAATGTAAATGAATGTTAGGCTTTCAGCTCCTTTTTTAGTGCAAGTGCTTACATTCTATCACTAACAGACATAAGGTGGAGATTGTACCCCCAAACTGTCATGACTGCAGTTCTTTCACAGAAACTTCAGTATTTATAGGATTTGAGTTTATAGGGTCTTGACAACCTATTGAACAGAAAACAAAATACTATCTTCAACCTAAAAGCAAGATTGAGCAATTACATAAAGATATATTGCTAAATAATCCACAGCAGCAATATATACCTGTACATTTTTCTGCATTAAAAATCTTAATGGTGACCAAAAGCAGTCTAGGACCTTAAATCATGCTCAAAAATGTAAAATAAAACTCCTCATTTTACTGAAGGGGAATAGACCTCACCATTGTGTCTTGAAAACTGCATAAAATGAAAACCTTGACCACAAAATCTTTATCAGAAGATGAAACAGACTATTTAAATGTTAGCTGTCCTCATGAAATAAGGGATTAAACATGTTTTTCCACACTTGCTAATGTTAAGTGTTTTTTTTCGCATAGAGCTACAGTATTTCCTGTTCCTAAGTTAAATATATGACTACGTAGTTCAGTCTTACATCTTATCCCATTAGTATCTGGCAGGTCTTACTTCAGCAATGCTGACTGATATTTCAAACTGCTGGTGAGTAAGTGTTCACAAAATATATATTCAGATATTACCCCAAAATAAGCTGAGAAGTAAATGTTCATTATAGAAAAATACCTGTTGTGGAGGCCTTAAGACCAAGTAGCAAAATAGATGCCATACAAAGTAAAAATATGTGTAGTTTCCAAATTGATAAACTATTAACTATTTTTAGACAAAGGAGAAAAGAAAGAGGCATTTGTATATTAAGCATGGAAAGGATGTTATCCAAAAGCCTGTTAACACTGATACATCATCTAGATTTATACTATGAGTAGCAGTTGGGTAATCAGGAGTTTAAGGTGAAACTGTCTTGGGTTAAAACTTGTATTATGCAATTTTGAAACATTCAAAAATGTATTTTGGATATTAAGGTATCCTGGATCTGTATCCTAGTAGGCAGCTGTACTCCAGCAAAAATTCTGAAAGGTCATCTTTGTAATTCATCAAACTGCTTTGTAATAAGGCCATTATTTTCAGAATCCTTTATATTCTTATATACTGGAACACTTGCTAACCTTGACAAGAACAAAGCTTTCATCTCAAGGCAACATGACACACCATTAGAATGTGATTTTTGTGGGGGGGGGGCGTTACACAATACTAGCTTCTGTACAGTACCAGTCATGCATTTAGACTGTTCTACTGTTCTAGTTGTGCAATGAAAGTAGGAGAAATCTAGAACTTAAATGCTGACACCCTAACCTTGATATTTTTATAGTAATAGTCCACACATCTGATCTGTTTTTAAAAGACCATTTAATATTTTTTCCCCCTGCAAGGGAAGAGGCAGATACATCAGTGCCTTTAAAAATGGCAGACTTTCTAGATTCTGTGGGAGTCTGTTTCATGGGTGTGGAAGCAGATACATTTAAAAAAAAACATGAGCAGAGAATGGCTTTCAGGCATGATCTTGATTAAAGTTTGTCTAACTTAGTGCCATACAGTTGTTGAAAACAAAACTTCACATATACATACTGGATATTAGAACTACAGTATGAAAATTGTGGAAGGCAGAATTTGTGGATCATCATTGGTTTGATCATTTGGTTTACTAGGGTTAACATTTGGTTTATTAAGGAGTTATGAAAATGGATAATTGTTGCATCTTACTGGATTTCTAAGGCTAGGCCTACACTAGGGGATAAATTTTAATTAAGATATGCAACTCCAGCTATGTTGTTTGTGTAGCTGGAGTCTACTTACCTTGATTTGAACTTTGGCATTGTCCCCACAGTGGAGGGTCAAGGGGAGGAATGCTCCTGTCTACTTCACTTACTACTTTCAAGGAGTAGGAATACTGGCATTGATGGGGGTGCCCTCGGTGTTCAATTTAGCAGGTTCTTACTAGACCCACTAAATAGAACACTAGAAGATCAACCTCTGGAGCATCAATCTGAGGGTAAGTATAGACATAGCCTTAATCTCGAATTGCATCATTTTGAGACTGTCTAGCAAGAGGTTATTTTTAAGTGCTACTTTACAAACTGTCCATTGTTTCATTAAATAGGAATCGTATACTATAAACAAATAGACTGAAAAAACTAGAATTAGTCCAACTTCTGCTTAAACTGATTCTACTGCCCTCTTTCTTAGTCAAAAGATTAATAACAAACAATCTTGGTCATTTGACAAATAGGATTAAAGAAGCCTGCCTTTCTTCCTATGTTCATGAATTCTGTTATTTCATAGTTAAAGCGTCATGCATCTGTGCACACTTGAAATTTACAGCAGGAAACTTAAGTATCCTGTAGCATAGTAAAGATGTGGAAACACTATACAACTCCTTTGAAAACACCATGTCTGTCTGAAGGTTATAACCAGATCTACAAAGATGAAGCTGAGATGTATAATCAGTCGGACCTCAACAGCATGAGTGCCTGTTACAATTTACATATGCAGTGTGGGGTTGTTTGAAGGGAGAGTGCTAGTCTAGCTGTCAACCTGTGACTTTTAGCTGTTTTTTTCAAAGCAACATGGTTTTCCATAATCAAATTTACTATATGCTGTGAGGAAAGGAAGCTTATTTTCCACTAGCTTCTTCTCTCTCATACAGTAAAGCAAAGCCGGTATATAGGCTTCTTCTTGTGTGCTGATGTATGACACTTCCTATGTGTATCCTTTGATTTTTTAAGATATCCCACTTTGCCTGGGTTTAGACTTTTTCCTTTCCATTTTCTATCTCGGACCCCTGTTTGTAATCCTATTTACTTTTTACCTCTCCCCCATTTGAGACTCAACATTTTCACTTGAATCCATTTGTAATATTTCCTGCTTGTGAAAGGCACTGAATAAACAATCCTTTAAACTGAATTCCCCTTTTTGTTACAGGCAGTGACTAGCCTTGGCAAGTGCTATTGCAAATTTCCTTCCCCTGCTACTGCTTAATGTCCCTTAATTCAGAGAGAAATCTTGCTACTTGTACTATGAAAGATATTAAAAATACATTACACTTTCTAAAGAACTAAGCATCAAAACAGTGGTTCCAAAACCCCTCCCCCACCTAAAACTGGTTACAAAATATTGGCATAGTAAATCCTGTTACAAAAGGAATGAAATTGACTATTCAAAACTTTTCTATTAAAGGTAATTTTTCAAATATTTTTTCACTCGTGACCTTAAAACAGCTGGAGTATAACTATAACCCTTATATGCTTTAGAAGAATAGAAAAGTAATATTTTTACAGTAATCTGATCACCAATGTCCAACAATTACATAGATGGGTAAAATAAGTAGCATAATTTGTTTAGTTGCATGTAATTATTAATCTGAATATTTTCTCTTGCTTTTGTTTTGGTGCTACAGTACTACTGACCCGAGGGAACCATTTAAAAAAAAAAACACCTCCCTGCTTTTTTATGGGGGTGGGAGGTCTCAAACATCTAGCAGTGCAATGTGATTTGAAGAACGCATTTTAAAATTGAAAATTAAGCTTTGAATTCAATGCAATGACTCACCCATATTAAAAGTGCTGAAAGTTGTAGTTAACTGGTTCATGATAAGGTAATGGTTATTGGATGTTGCATATTTGTCATTTTTAGTCTAAACGTATCTTTAGAGGGCAGGAGGGAATGCGTGAAACTTGAATAGACTCACAGCAGTGTTAAAGTGTGGAAAATGTTTACTATGTATGTAAATTACATCTTTATAATAGTGATAGATCATGTGCAAATTGACAAATACTTCAATTTATTTTTGAATGGCAACTCAAATTGAGGTTATGTATAATTTATAATATATATAAACCTGCTACTTAAACCATAATCATGTCCAGTTGAGACTTGTCTTTTATAGTGAACCCTGCTGCAACTAACTCAAGCTCTGTTCAAGTTTTTTTCCTCCCTTGTATAATGGTAATAGCCATTCCCAGGACTGTTGAAGAATTCAGTTTAACAGTGTTAATACATCCAAGAGGCTAAAAAAATTCAGATTTTGTGCAGTTTAAAATATAGAAGAGTAGCATTTATGGTGGCTACATGCAGATGAGATTTTTTTTTTCAAAAGTGCTGGGAAAAAATACAAGCCATTTTAAGGAGCTACCCTGTACAACAGAGTAAGATACTGTATTTAGATCAAAAGTGACTCAATAGATCTGTATTTTCTACTATATATTGCCCTCCAATCATACTAAAATATGACTTCAGTGATTTCAGAGGTAGTACTCTTGTGCTGCATCTACACAGCAACATTTTGAAATAACTAGCATTATTTTGAAATAATATAGTCTGTGTCTACACAGTTGGCAGTGTGTAAGGTTGAAATACTGTGAAGTTGGAGGACTTCTTACTCCTACTCCTGTAACCCTCATTTTGAGGAGTAAGGATAGTTGGAGGAAGAAATAAGTGCTGTGTAGACAGCACCAAAACTCTAAGCTATTTTGAAATAAGCTATGCAATTGAGCTATGTCAGTTGCATAATTATTTCGAGTTTAGTCCTGCTATGTAGATGCGCCCTTGAGCACAAGTGACTTCTGTAGAAAACCAGTGGCAAGGTAACTGGTACTTTAAGAAATATCATATTTAGAACTTGAGGAGGAGTGGGATATCCTACTGTGACTGTCGTAAGCATTGCTGTGGTAAAACGAGAATTCTAATGTCAAGTCGACTAAGACCAAAACACAAGATTCTTTGATAAAAGTAACATGCAAACTACATGCTCTGGAAATTTCCACTACATGCATCTGACTAAGTGGGTCTTTGCCCATGAAAGCTTATGCTCCAACACTTCAGTTATAGTCTATAAGGTGCCACAGGACTCCTCGCCGCTTATACGTAGTTTGCATAACAGATGAGAGCTTTATTTATTTTACAGCACTTTAGGCTGTCACTGCAACTGAACAGTTTTAAAAAAAAATGAAATTCCTCTCAAACATTAGCAGCAACTCATGTAAGAAACCTCATTATAAACTGATAAGCTGATGTCCCTTAACTGATGGTAATACTTTATGCTTCATGTGGCTTTTGTGTAGTATTTTTCAAATGGTAATTCTCTGCTTTATAGTGCATTATCCCCATTTTAGGTAATTTTAGAGGAAATGGGGAGACAGATGAAATTACCACTTTAGAGAAGTCTGATTGCAAATCCTTTCTGCATTAAACTATCATTATATTGATACTGATCACCTATCATTATGGTGATGATATACATCTAGGAGAGCATGTTGTGCTTAGATCCAGCTAGCTGTTTTTTTATAAAGGAGTAATATCCCATTCAAATATGAAGACTGGGTAAGTAGTTCATAGAAGCCATGTTTTGATGCATTGTATAAACTACTGCACCATGATCCCCTTCTGAAAAAATGCTAAAACCCCAGCAGGAGGATAAATCCACCAAAAGCCCCCTTTGT